CGCATGCCCGTGACGTCAAATCTCTATCGAAGTATAAAAATCCATGTTCGTGACGTGTATGGTGGCTCCAGTTGAACCAAAATCTTATAAATTGTTCATGAGTGTTTTAAGCAGTTCAAAAAACTCGTAGATCGTGTTTTATCAGGTATAAAACACTCCTCGTTTTTTAAACACTACATATAATATATATATATATGTATATGAATAAAAAGGATCCGTGAGTTCAGTTTTGCCCTGACATTTTTTCTATTTCAGACAACCCTCAAACTGCTCGGTACAAATGCCATTGGTTTCGCATTCCTTGCGATCTATGGGTTCCTGATCGTAATCCAGTTTCTTACCCTTATTTGGCATCGTATCGATACTATTTGTCACATGTTGGCGAGAGCACCGTGGAGGAAAGGACCGTATCAAATGTCTTGGTCATTCAAAGATACTGATCTTCCACCAGAACCAACCCAAGCAGAGCTTGAAAAAATTCGCAGGAGAAAGAAACCAAAGAGAAGGGGCACGAGTAAGTGATGATTTGGTCTGTCTGTCTGCCTGCCTGCCTGCCTACCTACCTACCTGTGCGTCTGTCTGTCTGTCTGTCCGTTTATCTGTCTATCTGTCTATCTGTCTGTCTGTTTATCTGTCTGTCTGTCTTTCTGTCTGTCTGCCTACCTACCTGTCTGTCTGTCTGTCTGTCTGTCTGTCTGTGTGTCTGCCTGCCTGCCTGTCTGTCTGTCTGTCTTATTATGATGATCTTCATATCAATATTTCTGTATCTGTTTGATATTTCAGGTCGTAGATCCAGTTCTCAGGCTCTACTGTTGGACAGCGAACCCAGTTCAGATTACAGTAGCACACACAGTGCTAATCACCTTTATCACCAACCTTCGCAAATTGTATGAGGACTTTATACTCTATACTCTATACTTTGAATAATGCAGTTTTCGTATGACTGTGAAAAGTTCACGGCACGAACACGGTCGTGACACAGCAAGGGATACGCCAGACCAATCACATTGCACGAGAATTTACTCTCCATCCAATCAAATACCCTGAACACGGCATGAACACGGCGCGGACACGGTCACGCCAAGGTCACGGCAATGCAAGACCAATCACATTGCGAGTGAAAAAATCAGCCAATTAAAATTCTAGAAAGTATCACGGTCACGGCACGTCACGCTTACGGCACTGAGCTTTTCATTTCAGAATAAGATTGGGTTATCATTCTTTTCAGAATAAGATTCTTTGGTCGTGATGTTTTCCCACTTCAGACCACGTGTCATTCTCTTGAGAATAAGATTTTTGTTTGAGTGGTACCCATATTCATGTGTCCTTTCATGTGCAACCTTTAAACAAAGAAATAATACTCTAGGGAATGACACGGGGTCTGAAAGAGGAAAATATTATACGCCTAGGCTAAAGAGGTCTTTAGAGCATTTTCACTCACGTGAGAAGACAGCCATAAACAATAGAAACTTTCTGCACAGTATTTGCATAAAAATAGAGTTCAATCCCCGGAGGATAGAAAATGTATTGTTTTGGTACCCCATAATGGCCGCTGTGACGTCACGTGAAAACGCTCTATATACGTTTGGCATGTACATGTTTGGCAAAGGTTTTTCCACTTTCTTTACCTTATATCAATAGAAAATGAAAGGGGATAAGAGAAGGAATCTCTGTTATTCATGCTTGTTACCATCATAGGCGCCGTGTGATGCTATTTTTAGAATCACATTTGATTCGTTTGTTCTTCTGCACGCGCATACTACTCGCGCTCTTCGCTGTTTGCTCACGTTTTTTTGAAAACAAAAAACAAAACGCAAGAAAACATAAGCAAACAGGGAAGAGCGCGCGCTCTATTCGCGTGCAGAAAAACTAACGATCGAACGAATGTTTCTAAAAATAGCATCAGAGATTCTAAAAATAGCATCAAAGTGTGCACATGATGGGGAACGGGGATTCCTTCTCTTAGTTCATTTTCTCTTGCTTATATACATTTGCTTTGATGTTCGTAATACAGCATTTATATTTTTATTATTAACTAGTTTTTTATAGAACAATGGTATTTTTCAAACGTTCTATTTCTAAAGCTAAGCATAGAGTGATTTTTATAAATCCGTGAAATAAATGATAGCGTAATAATAATTAGTACAAACTAGTACGAGTTATTACTCATTAGACTTAAAACAACGAAGTAATAAATTACGGTCAAAAAACTTTCACTGCAATACTTAGTTGTCTCGCTAATAACCGCTTCCAAACATTATTATGCGTTAATAGAAGTTAATAGCTAAATTATTTATCATATGGGTTTATGAAAATCACTAATTGTCTCTCTAATAACCGCTTTTAAACATTATTATGCGCTAATAGAAGTTAATAGCTAAATTTTGTTTCACGGATTTATGAAAATTTCTCTAGACCAATAGAATACCGTGATTTGTGACAAGGAGTCTAGGAAGGGCGCTGCTATGACGTCATAATAGACCAATTGAATAAGCTAGGAGTCTGGACCTAGCCGTGCTCTGCTGACGTCATAGAAGTGATAAATTTATACCAAAAAAGCTTAAGAAAAAATACTATATAAAGCCATGTTTTTTTTACTTAGCTGATAAACATGCATAAATTCCGCACGAGAGATTCTTGTGAGAAGAACAATAATCTTGCACTTTCCTTCTTATTTCAGGATCATATCGCATGATGCAAAAGCACAAAGCACTATTCTAAAATATAACCCCCAAAAAAAAAATCATGCAGGGGTGCCTGTGGTAGTATGATCCGGTGAGGTCTGGTAACGAGTGTTCAAATTACCATACGCATGTGACAATGTAAAGGATCTGTGCACGTGAAGGTAAGGTTACCATGGAAACGGGCCATTTTTTGTACGATCAATATACTTTGCATATTTGGAATTCGAGATAAAGAGGTTAACCTCACCTACATGCGAACAGTTCCTTTGAAAAAGTTTGTTAAATTTGTAAATGCATRCGTTGGGATTGCTGTGGTATAACGACCAGGGATCTGGTGCCTGATTTTATCCTCAAAGTGTTTTGTCCTCGGGGCTACACGTTCATATTCAACAAAGGTAACCCAGATAGTTAGAAAAGTAGCTCGTAGGTAGATGATGACACAAGGCTATCAAATCATTCACAAATAAATTTTAGGAATTTTTAAATTTTATCTAGGTGGTATTTTAGAAATGAATATAATTTAATATTCTCAAATGCACTTATTAAACTCTTTACAAAATAATGAATGATTTTWAAAAAAATAGACAATTTGAATTTTTTTCTGATTTTGGAGTGATTTTTGTGTGAGTGGGAAACATACGGTACTGACTCACAACACGTACACGGTACGACATGCTGTAACATTGAAATGGCTTCCTAACAGAATGGTTATCGTATGAGTGGGAAACATACGGTACTGACTTACAGCACGTACACGGTACGACATGCCGTGACATTAAAATGGCTTCCTAATAGAATGGTTATCGTATGAGTGGGAAACGTACGGAACTGACTTACAGCACTTACACGGTACGACATGCCGTAACATTGAAATGGCTTCCTAGAATGATCATCATAGTATGAGTGGGAAACGTACGGTACTGACTTACAGCACGTACACGGTACGACATGCCATGACATTTGGATGGCTTCTTAGAATGATCATCATAGTATGAGTGGGAAACATACGGTACTGACTTACAGCACTTACATGGTCCACTTAGCAATTAGTCCTCGAGCCCGAATGGGTTATTGACTCATAGCCCATGAAGGCGAGAGGACTAATTGTTTTAGTCAATTCCAACTAGTCGGTCAAATATATAGATGCAAACAAGTCTTGAATTAAAGTTAACTTAAATCTTTGGCTTTCAAAGCCGGCACTTTTCGCTACTAGTAGGCTATCATCAATAGACCACTAGTAGATTAGCCAATCAGAACGCATGATTTGAGATAGACAATTATCTAACTAAACGATAAGATACAGTACGGTTACGAATTTGTCGTATCGTTTCCCACTCGTACGAAGATAGCTCTAATGACGACACTAATTCATATTTTTTTGTATTTTACAGTCAAACCACCTCAAGCGTGAACACGTAGAGGTCATTAATGAATTATCGAATAATGAAATCAAGAATCCAAAAATAAAGTCATTAATGACCTCTACGTGTTCACGCTTGAGGTTGTTTGACTGTAAGATTAAATCTATAAATATAATATATTTTCTTACAATACTCCAGGAATAATAATTCGTACACAACCGCTGCGTTCCTTGATTGCAGACTCATTTACTCAGGGTTCGCCTTGAATCAGTGTCTAAATATTCACAAATACCAACGGTAAAGTAAAGACTGTGCAACTAACAATACAAACAGTTTGGAATTCGACAGACCCTATCTGTAACACATTAGTGACGCATCCAGGATTTTTCAAAGGGGGGGTTCCGTTTCTTAAACTGTGTATAATTCTCTTTTGTTTAGTCGATGTTTGACAAAAAAATTGGCTCTAATCACCTAACTAGTAACGGACCAAGCTATAATAACACGACCCAACGCAAAACTACTAATATTTTTTTATTAAAATTTATATAAGACATATTTCTATTACCTAAAAGATCAAACTTTCAAGGGGGGTTCCGTGGACCCTTTCGACCCCCCTGCATTCGCCACTGCACATGAATATTCTGAACAAAGAGAAAGAATTGGAAACTGGAGTATCGTGGTAACACGTATTCCTTGGCCATTTTTATTTCTTAGCAAGAGGTCGTTTATAGCCAACGGAAGTCTTAAGGTAAAAGAGGAAGTCGAAGAAGCTTCAGTAACTTTTGAGCGATATTACGTAGAATGCCTTAATTTGGAAAACGACACTTAACCACTAATAATAGACGTTGGCGTTTTTTTATACCGGATGTTCTGAGGGTATTCATCCTTGAATACTGGATAACAAATACGCTTACATTTAACTTTAGATTTTAAATCTTACGAGGCCAAGAAATAAGTATTAGTAACAATAATGAATTGGATGATGATGATGATAATGATAATGA